GCCACAACGCCCGGCTATTTTTTGGTTGCAGCCATCATTGTTGTTTGGCGTGTCCGGGCTGGGGATTCGAACCCGCCACCTTAGGTGTACGTGGCTGGCGCCTTAGCCGGTTGAGCTATAGGTGCCGAGCCGAGATACCATCTTTAACTTGTCTGAAAAATATAAACCGTAACAACCCAAATCCCTACATGGCATCCAAAGGTAAAGACTAGGAAACCCATAGTGTCTCTCCTTTTTGTGTGTTTGCACTGTGTTCTGTATAGAAATTTACCAAAGAAAATGTACATATCAAGTTAGGGCAAAAACAAGGGGAGAGCTCTTATCAAGAAGCTCCTCTGTCTATAAAGATAAAATTTTGCTTCAGGTTTCTACATATCTCAAAGGTACTAGAGTGCTGTTTACTTGGGCGTTATGAGGTAAGGGAGCCTCCAAGTTAATTATGCTACTGTTGCCAGTTGTGTGAACAACAGAAGACACTCAAATGATAGAAATATAATAAAATCTAGTTTTTACCAACATTGCAACCCAAATTCAAAAAAGGGCATATATAAGAGGAAGAAACTCCACACTCAAATATTTTAGCTGGGGTAGCCAAGAGTACGTGAGCGTAAAACATACTCATCGATTATAACAGAATAAAAACTCAACTGCAGAATGAGCCAAACACAGAGCTTAGCCTGAAATCCATTTGTATATACTCAGTCTACACTTTATGTAACGGCTAATGGTCAGTTCTGGTTTGTTATAGGAAACATCACTATGACTAGCTGATCAGTTCCCTGTGTAAGAGACACTTGATAAACATCAGGATTACTCACGTGATATCCCTGCGCTGATAGCAACCTTGAAGCAGGCAAGCGATCAGGTCACTGATAAACTCCACATCGTCTCTGTGAAGGGCTGCTTCTAACTCCTATGGGAGGGGAAAAGGAGAGAGGAAACTAAGAAATAAAACGCAGAGATTTCTCCCACCACCAGCACCTATCCCAAGCAACTGGATGGTTGCGTAGCAGTAAGATTAACCATGGATCAATGCTGCTCTTCCTCCTACAGTCACTGCTAAAAGAGCACCTACAGTTCCTTTTGTTGTTTTTGTTTTTTTGGAGATAGAGTCTTGCTCTGTCATCCAGGCTAAAGTGCTGAGGTGTCAGCCTAGCTCACAGCAACCTCAGACTCCTGGGCTCAAGTGATCCTCCTGCCTCAGCCTCCTGAGTAGTTGTGCTCACCACCTGCCCGGCTAGTTTTTCTATTTTTAGTAGAGATAGGGTCTTGTTCTTGCTCAGGAGTCTCAGATTCCTGAGCTCAAGGGATCCTCCTCTGGCCTTGGCCTCCCAGAGTGCTAGGATTAGGTGTGAACTACTGCACGCAGCCTAGAGTTCGGCTTATTGCTTTCCCTGGGGGGTTTTCCCTCTCTGCTGCTTACCAAACCCCATTCCTTTTACCTGCACACTAAAAGAAACATAAATATCTCTTTTTATAAAGCAATGATGGCTGCATAATCAAAGGCTTGATTATGTGTACTATGAATATAAATATGCTGTATTGCTTTCTGTTTTAATGGCAAGAGAGAATAAAGGAGCAATCGCATAAGTGATTATAAAAGTATTAATTGGCTCGGCGCCTGTGGCTCAAGCGGCTAAGGCGCCAGCCACATACACCTAAAGTGGCGGGTTCGAATCCCCATCCCGGGCCCACCAAACAACAATGATGGCTGAACCAAAAAATGGCCAGGTGTTGTGGCGGGTGCCTGTGGTCCCAGCTACTTGGGAGGCAGAGGCAGGAGACTCGCTTGAGCCCAGGAGTTGGAGGTTGCTGTGAGCTGTGATGCCATGGCACTCTACCCAGGGGGACAGCTTGAGGCTCTGTCTAAAAAAAAAAAGTATTAATTGGGCGGCGCCTGTGGCTCAAAGGAGTAGGGCGCTGGCCCCATATGCCGAAGGCGGCAGGTTCAAATCCAGCCCTGGCCAAAAACTGCAATAAATAAATAAATAAATAAAAGTATTAATTTACTTAGACTCAGTTAAAAAAAATCTCTAGCAGCTTTAAGAAACCACTGTATTTTTTTTTTTTTTTAACTAACACCATCTATAAGCAATATGGCAATTTTCATTTGGGGGACACTATGACCAATGACAGGAGACTGCAAAAACTAAGATTAATCTCACATCATCTGAAGAAAAATGAGGTAATGTCTGTGTTAGTGGTCTAATCCTAGGTGAGATGCATTGGCATTCCTTAGGGTTCGGGTAAGCAATATGAAGATTGTGCTTGTCTTACCATAGTATACCACAAAGGTTAGTTTGCACAGAGGCTACTGGATAAAAAATGGAAGTGGGAAACTTTAGGAAATCCTATTTCTCACCTCAACACTTAAAAATAAGCAGATATTTTATAGGATGATTTTTAAATCAAGTCTTTCATTGCAAATGGTTGCATTCTTTCAATTAGGAAGCTATGTTCTACAGCCAAACCATCAAGAGTTTGTCCGCCTACACTTACAGTCTGACTAGCTCATAATCACATCCAGGATTCATAGGAAAATAAACTGAGAATCCTATATTAATGGTTCTGAAAGTAAGAGAAAGTGTGCATTCAGATGTACTTTCTGATCTTAACACCAATTCTATGGTAGTTTATGCTAAAGAAGGTAGTCTGCTTCTAGTACAGAATTAAGAAAGTTATTTTGTAAATTCCTAGTTTGGAAATGTTCACTCTAAAAAACTTCATAGGACAAAAACTGCTAAGTGCAATAACTGACACAAAAACTATAAACTACCACCCTCAAGTAGAATAGGAACAGGCCCCATATTGCCTTGAAAGCCCAGGCAGATGAATAACTCAAAATCTAGTGACAATGCTCAAGCATGAAAACATTTTGCTTGCCTTAAATATAAACCTGCAAATTGTTAATACCTGCACAGCAGTTTTCTTATTTTAATAACTTTTGTGGGCAGATGTCTTTTTTTTGGAGGAGTCTCACTGTGTTGCCCTCAATAGAGTGCTGTAGCATCATAGCTCACCGCAACCTTAAACTCTTGTGCTTAAGTGATTCTCTTGCTTCAGCCTCCCAAGCAGCAGGGACTACAGGTGCCCGCCACAACACCCGGCTATTTTTTCACTGCTGTTGTCATTGTTGTTTAGCTGGCCCAGGCTGGGTTAAAACCTACCAGCCTCAGTGTATGTGCTCGTGCCCTAACCACTGAGCTACAGGTGCTGAGCCTGGGCAGACATCTTTCCTACAGCCTAGCCGGGTGTTACTTACCAATCAGCGTTAACAAGTATTTTAACTATAAGTAGCCAGAATTAACTAATTCAACAAATATTTATTGGTTACCCATCCTGTGTAAGATAACATAGCGTACTTCTAAGCATTAGAGAGCTATAGTTGACTTAAGGGAGCTAAAATGGCACAGAAAATAAAAACAAAATGACTACTCTTTAGTACAGAAATGGTGTTATGGGTGCCACTGCAGTGGAGATGAGATTTTGCAAAGTGGAGGCACTTGAGATGAGAAAACTGTGACCACATGACAACAGAAGAGCGAGGCAGAGAGCATAACTGGGTGCAAGGGCAACACAGCAAAGGTGCCAAGAGGCTATGAGGTTCAGTGAAGTATTCTGAAGACTATGCAAAGGGAAGTAATGTGAGCCAAGATTGACAGCTGATATTGGATACCAAGCTGATGAGTTTGGCCTTTCTTTGGATGACAATGGAGATCCACTAGGTTTTGTTTTTACAGAGGAGAGGCAGTGAGACAATCTAGCCACTGTGTATATAAGATGAATTCTAGTGGCAAGGAGGACAGGGGTTGGGGGGAGATATCTGTGCAAGCAACAGTGCAGGAGAAAGGTTCTGAAGGACTCACTGAACAAGGGAACGAGTAGAAGGGAGGCACAAGAAAGAATTCAGATCTCAGAGTAAATAAGAACCCAGGCAAGTGAAGATTTGAATGGCTCATAGTTTAAAGCCTGGTCACTGGGCAAGACTCCAAAGTAAATTGGAAATGTAACAGAAATTAAATCCTTGAAGCAAAAATGTCCCAAGCCAGCTCATCTGATAGACAAGCCAGAATCACTGAATGCACAAGCTGGAAGGTAAATTATAGGCCACATTATTTCAACTCTTTCAATTTAAAGATGATAAAAGTAGGTCCAAAAAAAGTAGTGATTTCTCCAAGGGTGCTCAGCACATCCGTGACAGAAGCAAGTGTTTTTCCCACAGCAACCACCACTCCCCTCGCTGACACTCTCCATCAAAAAAGGCCTGATGGTTCCAACAACCACAATAACCACTCAACCACTACCTCTTTTCTCTATTCTCCCATATATGTCCTCCCAAACCATGTTGTAGTCCCTTGAAAAGAAAAGCATTATCTCCACAGCCTCCCTGGCTGAGCTGCACCTTGTCATACCCTCCAGCACCTCTATCATCACTGCTGAACCCATACATCTCTACCAGTCCTCATTCTGCCCCCTGCTGTGGCCTGCATTAACGATTGTCTAGAAAAGTTTTTTAAGAACCTAAGTGCCAAATTAAACAATCATAAAGGCCACCCACATGTAAGAACATAAGGTAAGAACCAAGAGGAAATTACAGAAAGGGGGACTGCAGGAAGTCTGTGAGAGGGTCCACAGGGCATTTACTCACTCTGTGGTTTCTAATAAATCCAATTTCTTTTCTCTTGCTGCTTTCAGTCTAGTCTCCTCTGGCTTGTCCTGCTATCACTGCCACAGCAAGGTTCTAGCAAGAATACTGTCCTCTGAGGAGGCAAAACTAGAATGTTTTTGTAGCAATAGCATCATGAATGCCCTTTCTGCTCTTACAACACAACAGCGTCAGTTTTATCTTTTCAATCTACATAAGCTGCTTATGAGAAAGGAACAATCCTATCTTCTCTGTGGTCCTTCCTATAACATTTGCACAGAATTTAGCAAATAGGAAGTGGTCAAATAATTCAACAAGAATATACAGTACACCTACTATTTTTCTAGTTACTAGGGATACATTGGTGAATAAGAACATCCCAGTTAGGCCAGGTGTGGTGGCTCATGCCTGCAGTCCTAGTGTTCTGGGAGGTCAAGACAGAGGATCCCTTGAGCTCAGGAATTTAAGACTAGCCTGAGCAAGAGCAAGACCCCAGGCAGGAGTGGTGGCTCAAGCCTGTAATCCTAGCACTCTGGGAGGCTGAGGCGGGTAGACTGATTGAGCTCAGGAGTTCCAGACTAGCCTGAGCAAGAGTGAGACCCCAAACAAACAAACAAACAAACAAAACACTAGCTGGATGTCATGGCAGGTGCCTGGTAGTCTCAGCTACTCAGGAGGCTGAGGCAAGAGGATCATTTGCACCTAGGAGTCTGAGGTTGCTGTGAGCTATGACACCATGGCCCTGTATCCAGGGGGACAGAGTGAAGTTCTATACAACACAGACACACACATACACACACACACATAAAGGAAGAGGAAGTGCTATCATAGGAGACAGAAATGAGAAATTCTTTTGGTTTTCACTTAATGTATTCACTACTGTCTCTCTGGAAATGAGAACACTGCCTGATGCAGAGTAGGCATTCAAATATTTTCTGCACTGAATGACAGCAACTACTTAAGATTGTATGACACGTGCAGAAACACAAAGTGACGTGTAAAAATTAAAGAAACTGAGGAATCTGTGGACTGTGAATTTGCCAAGGAGGTAGGATTTGCACAGGGCCCTGAAGGGAGGAATGGCACCAGGTCAAGGAACAGTAACAACTATGTGAATGTCCACAGCAAGCATGGGAGGCCCTGAGCACTCTGCCCAGAACTAGAGATGGTGATGACAGAATGTCAGATGATGAGGGTGGGGGGCCGGCTAAGTCGGATCCTTACTGATCCCTTAGACAACCTTCTCTGAAAATCACACTAAA